GGGAAGCCCTGGAGGCAGGAGCATTATTGCACTGTACTGGGACCTCCCCTCCCCGCCAATGAGAACCCAGGATGCTGAGTCAACAGCAGAGGAAAAGAAAGTCTTGTGAACCCAGTGGAAACTACTCTCTCATCCATACGACAGGAGTTGAAGGCCAAGGGAGGAGGAAGAGGAGGAGGAGGAGGATGGAGACGTGGATGAGACGGTGGAGGCTGGGGATACCGGGAAAAGAAGCTTGGGCTTGGATGCGGACACCTTCTGTCTTCCCTTGACACCTTCAGACCTACTCTCCACATGTGTCCACCCTGCTTTCTGCAGAGAGACCACTCCATAGACTGTATCCCAAGGGCCTGGGTACCCTTTAGCTTCCACATGGGTTCAGGCAATCAGGAGACTTGGCAGGCGATGGAGGGAGGAGAGTGAGGTGGGAAGGCTCTTTCCCTGCAGGTTCAGGGTGCTCTTGTGCTGCTCCACCAACCTGGCCCCTCCATAGGACGCCCTCCAGGTTCAGGCCACTGCTGCCTCCTCTTGTCCTTCTAGGTTTCAGGGTGGTAGTAGCCCTTTACCTCTGCCACGGCCCTGGATAACTGCACGATCTTGTGTGCTTTCCCACCCACTGCACGCTCCTCAGGGAATTGTTCCTTAGTTAAAATCACCTTAGAGAGATTTCATTATTAAGTGTTAACGTCAGTCCCTCAGGCATCTCCGACTTGTTGTGATTCCATGGGCTGGGGCCCGATAGGCTCCACTGTCCCCGGAATTCTCCAGCCAAGAATACTGGAGTGGGTAGCCATCGTCTTCTCCAGGAAATCTCCCCGGCCCAGGAATTGAACCCAGGTCTCCCACATTGCAGGCATATTCTTTACCACTGAGCCACCAGGGAAGCCCCAAATTGCCTTACATTATCCTAACTGCAACATGGCAACTGGTCCCTGCTGGGATCCAGGCTGATACAAGTTCCAGGAGCAATGGAGAGCCCTAGAAGGAACAAGCAAGATGGGGATGGGCACCAATGGGGAATGGAACCGAGACCCTCAGGGTAAAGTAGGGCTTTGTCATGGTCACACACAGGGCGGGCCAGGTGATGTGGGTGAAGGGGGCCTGGCAGGTTTCTACATACAGTTTTTGGTAAACTGTTTTCAAAGAGGGGCCCAAGTGTCGCCACGTGTCCCACCCTTTTGAGCGTGACTTGCTGCTCCTGCCACACAGAGGAGAAGCCTATTCTTCTCCCTTTGAATCTAGACCAGCCTCAGGACTTGCTTTGACAGACACAAGCAAAATTGTGCAAGTCGTGCCTAGAGGACTTAGTAGATCTTGCAGCCTTGCTCTCATCCTTTGGAAACCAGCCACCATGAATGTGAAAAGCCAAACAGAAGAGAAAGAGGGGCCCTATGCCCACCTTCAAGGAGAGGTCAGTTGGTCAGGCACCCAGCTGCCCCCAACTTCAGCCACCCCACCACTGAACTCAGCTGCAGGAGAGCCTGGGTTAAGACCAAGAACCATGCAGCCACCCAGAGAGATGTGGACATAATAAATCCTTGCTGCTTTCAGCCACTAAGGTCTGCAGTGGTTCAATACCAGCAATAGAAAACTGTAGCAGGCAGATACTTCTCTCCTGGCAAATCCTGCCCTTCCTTCATGGCACCGCCCACCTGCCACTTCTTCCTTCTTCCCCTGGTGGAAACCATCACTCCCTCTCTCAACCCCCTGCTCTTGATTCCTGCTTCTCTTGGGACCCTATAGCACCCACTTCATAGTATCAGAACAGGCCATCATGAGATGCTGGGCACATTTATGGCCTGACTCCTGGTTACACTCTCCTCCCCACCAACCATTTCTCACAGTATGTGAAATGGCTAATTATCTCATTATATGTGTTCCACTCCCAAGACTCAAGCTTCATGTTGAGATGCTTGTTTCTTTGATAGCAAAACTAAGGTTTGTGGGGGATGTGACTTGCCCATAGTCACTGAAAAGGGCTGGGCTAAGCTTGGACCCAAATTTACATTCTTGAAGTGCCCCACATTTACAGTTATTGCTGTGATTAGCTTATGGAGGGAGAAGACTTACTTTCCCACTCCAAGTGTGGGGGTTCACAGTTCTGGTCCTACCTTATCATCCTGTCCCACCCTACATCCTGTCCCTCACTGATGACCTGTGTCCCAGACCTAGGAACCCAGAATCCTCCTCATCAGAAGCTTGGCCCCACCTTCTCTTCTTGCAGATGCATAAGACCATTCACTCCTCATGTGTGGCCTTCCTTCTCTGACTAGTCTGCCTTGTTTCTTTACATAATATAACCCATCCCCACAGAATAGGCCAGAGGTGGTTATTTGGTGCTTAGGAAGGAAGAGGCAACATGCTATTCTCTGGCCCATCTGAGCCACCATCTGGGAAGGGGGCATAGGACAGCAGGGCTAGGGGCCAGGCTGGGGATCAAAGGTGAGCTTTTGGCCAGCCCGCCTGGTTGGAGGTGGAAGGATTGAGAAAAATATTAATGGACTCTCTCAATTGTTTTTGTGTTTTGTTTTGCCACACTGAGTAGCTTGAGGGATGTTAGTTCCCCTACCAGGGGTTCAACCCGGGCCCTGACAGTGAAAGTGCAGAGTCCTAACCACTGGACTCCTAGGGAATTCTCAGAATCTTTCAATTGTTGAATTGAAATTTATGGAGCCCCGATTCTGTGCCACTGTCAGGGCTGAATGAGTAGGAACTGCCATTGAAGTTCTCAGCTAAAGAAAAAAAAAAGTTCTCAGCTAATGTGACCTCAGAATTGAGGTCAAAGTTCATCTTAGTCACCCAGGGAAACTAAGACTCAGCACAGTCATTTAGCCAGTGACAGAGCCCATTTCTCTTTCCCCACTTCCGGATCTCCCTCTGGCTGCCAGCCCGGGGCTCAGAGGACTCAGAAACTCAAAGGTGCCAGGATGAGTTAGGGGACTGTGACTTCTCCCTCCTCTCCAGCTCAGGGAGGGAGGATCTGGGACAGGCAGGATGCAGGATGAGGGAACCTGTAGGAGAAATGGCTGCAACTGGTGGCTGCTTCCAGCTGTCACTCAAGGCAGAGGAAGAGAAACCTACTAACTGGAGCTGCTGTTTGTCATGCTCATTGAGTGACAGAACCACAAAGGACAGAGACACAGACATCATTCTCTCTCAGTATCTCTCCCATTTCTCAGGTGTACAGAACCAAGGAGAGGGCCCATTACAGAGGAGTCAGTGCAGGAGAGCAAACCCCTGATGCCAGAGTCTGGTTTCCTCTGCCATGGAGCCAACTGTGACCTGGGGCCTGGCATGGGATGGAGCTGCAGGAGTCAGTATAGGCTCTGGAGATGTGTTCAACAGACACCTCAAGGAAGCCTTCTGGGATCACAACACCTTCCCTTCAGCCTCCCCAGTCCAGCCCTACCCTTTGGGGCAGCACCTCTGCTCAGCAGAACTCCAAGTGTTTGTCTCTGGGAACATTGTACTTGAGCTTGTGGGCTTCAAAGAGATTTTCCAGCTCCTTCATGTAGTGCTGGTGCAGTCTGTCCACCTCCTCCTGGGAGGGATGTGGTGTCTTCTTCACCTCGATGGGCTTCCCCACTGCAAGACACGGAAGTGAGTGGTGGCCCAGAGCAGGAACCACTGGAGTCCCAGGATCCCATGGGGCAGGACCCCGTGGTCACACCTGCTGGAAGGTGCCTATATTGCCTCCCTTCCAATTGTATTTTGGGTGACCTGATCTAGCTATTAGGGCAACTCCAAGCTCTGATGATAAAATGTCACAGGCTGCATGACCTCCTGCTAGGCAATGTGTTAGATACTTTAATGCATGATCTCTTTTTATCCTCCTAGCAATCCTAAAAGGATAGAACTTGCTTTATTCCTGTTTTTCAGCTGAGGTGTTAAACTCAGGGAGGTTAAGTAACTTGTTTAATGTCACATGGCTAGGCAGAATCAGTGTCAGGTTATAAGCCCTGGGAATGTGTTCTTAGTCTCAGGGACATGTGAACCTGGGAGTCTCAGATGCCATGATTGGACACGCCCAAATGTCTGGGAGGAGGTGGCCCACACCCCAAGCACCCTACTTCCCTCTCTCCTGCTATGCTAGAGGGCAGTGCTCCCCATTCTAAGGAGGAAATAGGAGGCCCTATCAACTTCCTTCCTCTGTTCTATCTGGCTCAGAAAGCAGCTGTCATGTCTTTTTCTCTTCAGAGTCATATGGAGGCAGCAGCCCTGTAACATTCCTGAAAATATTACCGCCAAATCCAGGGAAACTCTTGACTGCTTAGACTCAGCTAAAGATAACTGGGTGAATGGAGATAAACAGACCTCTCATTACAAACTTTGCCATTGGAAGATAGCTGGAATCCAAGAGGAGAGCAAATAAGATGACCGAATAACTGAAAAGATGGTGTTAAATCCATGCACTAAAGCCCATGTCCATTATTTATAGGAAATTTCTTCAGGCTCTCCATAGCCTGATGATTGCTATTATACACCGTTCTAACAGACCTGGAGTGCACTGCCCTTATATCCATCTTCTCTAATAAGCCTTATGGGATTGTCTTCTCAGAGGTAAAAACTCCTTTCTCTGGCATAGTAAAAGTTAAATAGATCCTGACTCAAATCTCAATTGTGTTACTCACATGCAAGGTCATCTTTTGGAAATGATTTACCTTCCATAGGTCTCATTTTGCGATCAGTAAAATGAGAATGATAGTTTTTGCTTCCAAGGTTGTAAGGACAACTGAGCAGCTGCATAGAAGGAGCCAATGCAGTGCCTGGCACAGCAGGTGCTCAGTTATCAGTAATGGCAACTTGTCTTTATGCCCCTGTTACTCTTCTCATCTCAGATGCCTTTCATCTGGGTTACTTGCCTATATGTCCATTTCCCAGTATAGAACCTGAACTCCAGGAGGACAAGGATGTGTCTGGCCCATTTCCATCCCCCTTTAGCCCAAGCCCAAGTCCCTTGCCCCGTAACCCAACACCTCCCAGCCTGGGTCTTGGCTTACCTACAGTGTTGATGGGCCGGCAGCAGGGCATAAGACCAAAACTGTATTGGAAAACACCACGGCCATAAAAGAGTGGAATGGAAGCTCCCACAATCTTCAGAATTTGTTCCTGGAACCAGCGCAACCAGGAGCCAGGAGAGTTCTCAATCTGGTCAAACATGTCATTCTCCCCAAAGGAGAAGATAGGCACCAGAGCTGCCCTAGAGGGAGACAAGAGAGAGGGCATGTGGAGGGGCAAGGAGGCACAAGTTGGTCACTAGCTTCCTGCAAGGACATAGTGAGTGGGAGCTGGAGGAGAGGACAGAACCATGGACCAAAAGTAGGAGGCCTCGGGTGTCTCTCAGACCTGCCACAGCCTTGCTTTATGACTCAAGCAGTTAGTGGCTCCTCTTGGGGCCATCACCTCCCCATTACACCATGACAGGGAGACCAGAATGCTGCAGAGAGTCTTCTCTGATTTAAAACATCTTCAAACTTTCTTGAAAAATCTCTTCTGCCCCAGCTAGCTTATATTCTTAAAGAATGCTTCAGGGTAGGAGAACAGCTAAAGCTTAAAAGCTACTTCACAAATACTATTCTCACAGAAGCCTTAGGTCTCAGATCTAATGCCAACTGTGGGCATTATGACCCTTCACATCTAGTCCCTTTGATCACCAAGTCTCCCTTCTAGAATCTTCTCTGGGTTTTTGGGCATGACACAATACATCTAGGGCTTGGTGCCTCAGATGGCAAAGAATGCCTGCAATGTGGGAGATGTGGGTTTGATCCCTGGGTTGGGCATATCCCCTGGAGGAGGGCAAGGCAACCAACTCCAGTATTTTTGCTTGGAGAATCTCCATGGACAGAGGAGCCTGGTGGGCTACAATCCATAGGTTCACAAAGAATTGGACACTACTGAGTGACTAAGCATAGCACAGCATAGTACATCTTTCACCAAGACAGAATCTTCACTGTGAATGGACTGAGCATCTCTTGCCAAAATAGGATTTACATTAATCTCTCAGTCTTTCCAGCAAAATACAACCTTTGTCAATCTCCAGCTGAACTAAGAGCCCTCTCCCTGATACCCGTGCATCAGGGCGAGCCTGATGAAGCCCTTGCGGTTTCGCAGCACCAGCTTGTAGGCTCCAGGCCTGGCATCCAGTGACTCCTGGACGCCCCCAACAACAATGCCCAGCAGGTTGCCTCCTCCTTCCCTGCTCAGAATGTGAGCAGCACTCTCCTTGTCTGCTGAGACCAGCCCTGGGGAGAGAGGATGGTGGTCAGATACAGGGTAAAGCGGGTAGGGACTGTGGGGGATGGGCTGTGTACCCTGAGCTCCCCTCTCCCAGCTGGGAGTTCCCTGAGGACTGGGACGGAGTCCTTTCTCTCCACACAACCCCTCACAAAGCTCGTTGCTGGGCATAGAACTGTGGGAAGTGCTTCCTTATATCTAACCTCCTTTTCTAACATACATGCTCTTAGAGGAAGTTCTGATTGTTGGCAGCCCTTCCTAAAACACCCCTCATGTCTCCAGCCCTCATACACCTGGGCAATCCAATGGTCGGAAGACTTACCCCCTAACATGATGTAATCCCTGATGAAGGGGATCTGGAAAAACATGTTCAGTGTCATAAGATGTGGGCGGATGCCAGGGAAGATCGAGGAGAAGCCAGTGGCTTCAGTGCACAGGTTGGTAACAGTTCCAATGCCCATGATCCCGTGGGGGTGGTAGGCAGCGAGGTAGTTCCGGGAGGGATCCAGCTCGGCAGTCTTGACCAGCTGCAGGGACGGCAGCCTGGTGAATCGGGGCTGCTTCTTGTGCCCTCCTCAGTCTCTGTTCTGACTTTCTGTGCTGATCTCTTCTATGTCTCCCCTGTGCCCAAGTGCTATCACACCCCCATGTGAGTGTCCTGAGATTAGAGACGGCCTGTCTGAGAATCCTTGTCCCCACTGCAGGCCTGGAGCAGAGGAGATGCTCTGGGAGACCGTGGAATGAAGAGGGAGAGAGAGCGGACTCATGAAGGGATTAAGTCAATACAGCCCACCAGGGGAGGGAGGCCTCCTGCCCAAGGCAGAGGTAGGACTTCTGGGAGGGTGACGAGGACACAAGCCCCTGTCACATGTGAACAGAGACCTTGTCCCAGGCAGAGCCCACCCAGAATGAAGGAGCCATCACAGGAGGGACTCTCCAAGGACTGTGGCAGCTGGGGTCCTGTCTCAGATGGAGGGCTGAACTTCTGAGTCCCTGTGACTCAGTGTAAGACACCTCAGGGTGCTGAAGGTAGGGGCTGGGAGGAGGGGCATGAAGTCTCTAGTGATGCCCGCAGGTGTGGTTGGGGAGGGTCAGGGGTGTGTCATGCCAAGTTGGCAGCACTTCCTGGTACCAGTTCACAGCCTGCCCACAGCACTGCACCCCTGCTCAGGCCTTGGCCTGTGTAGACACTGCTGCTCCAGGATAATGAAATCTTCACAGAGAAACCCAGCTCCTGGACTTACCATCAGCATGAGGTGGAGGCAACTTGTAAAGTAAGTTAAGGCTCACAGATGTTCACTTCCCACAGAGCACCTGTGATGTGCCAGGTGCTGGTGGTACAGCCAAGAAGAACAGCAGACAAAAATGCCTTCCCTCCTGGAGCTGACTGTCTCAAATCTGGAGGATGGAGAAAGGATGCCACTGGGAAAAGATGGTCAGGAATTTGACTTCAATTTTATTTACCGAATTGAAAGAGACACATGTACACCAACGTTTATTGCAGCATCATTTACTATAAGCTAGGACATGGAAGCTACCTAGATGTCCATTGGAAGATGAATGGATAAAGAAGTTGTGGTATATATACACGATAGAATATTACTCAGCTATTAAAAAGAACACATTTGAGTCAGCTCAACTGAGGTGGTTGAAATTAGAGCCTATTATACAAAGAGAAGTAAGTCAGAAAGAGAAACACCAATACAGTATATGAATGCATATATATGGAATTTAGGAAGATGGTAACAACAACCCTATATGCAAGACAGCAAAAGAGACACAGATGTAAAGAACTTTTGAACTCTGTGGGAGAAGGCGAGGGTGGGATGATTTGAGAGAATATCATTGAAACACATATATTACCACATGTAAAACAGATGACCAGTGCAAGTTTGATGCCTGAAGCAGGGATGGGGTGGGGAGGGAGGTGGGAAGGGGGTTCAGGAGGGGGGACACATGTGCACCCATGGCTGATTCATGTTGATATATGGCAAAAACCGCCACAATATTGTAAGGTAATTAGCCTCCAATTAAAATAAATTAATTAAAAAATTTTATTTATTTTTTCACTACAAATTTTTAATTTGAAGAAAACAATGACCCAGTTAGGTCTCTGCCCCAGGGCAACATTAAAAATATGTATTGGTTTTTCCCACTTTCAGAAAGCCAGTTCTAGAGAATCAAATCAAGTTATTAGTGGCTCTCCACAGGGTTGTGTTTAGGGGACATATTTCACTTTGGACACACGTTTTGTTTGAATGTGTTACAAGAGCAAATACTAGCTTTAATCAGAAAAAAAAGTTAGGAAAAAAACACAGTTTGGTCATTTACACTTGACCAGAAAGACTTCCCTGCACTTCACCATCCCCCTTACCCCAAACCCAAACTTGGGAGTCTTTTCAGTCACTTAGGAAAGAGACTTCTTTCACCTCATAATCTCAAGTGGGAAAATGTATCACCCCACTCTACCAAGCCCAGAGACGGTATGCAAATTGGCTAAGCTCACACAGCAAGCATTTAGGACGGGATCTGGCATTCAGTTCTACTATTTTGGGTCCATCGTGCTCCTAATATTCATTCATTTAATAAGTATTCATTGACTTCAACTCTTTTAGGAGCTGGAAACACGGTTGAGAACAAGACCAACTGTTTGAATGGAACTTACCTTCCTGTGTGAGGTGTGAGAATTATAGAGGAGAGGAAAGGAAACAATAAACAAGTAACCCATTGAAAACTATTGGTATCTATGCCCTGAGCTCATGGTGACAGGCCCTAGTTGACCTCTCTGGCCATTTCTTTGCCCCTCCCCCAAATGCATATTTTACATCCAGTGTTAACCAGCTGTTCAATTTAAGTATAGTGTTCACTCTCCCACTGAAAGCCCTTTATCTCCTGTCAGCCTTTAAATCCTGCCCAGGAGACCCATCTCCTACTATGTCTGGAAAGAGGTTCCTTCTCTCCACCTACCCTCAGCCTCCCTAGACCAGGGAAGGCAATCATTTACCTAAAGGGACAGATTGTAAATATTTTAGACTTTGCCATTCAGCTCAAAAGGCAACTTGGAGGATATTACATAGACACAAGATCATTTAAAATGTAAAAACCATTCTTAGCTCATGGGTTGTGAAAATACAAAAATAACCAGTCACCTGGGTTTGGTTCATGGGGCATAATTTTTTGACCCCTCATGTAGACTGTGGCTACTCCCTGCCATCATCAGTCTACCCCCTAAACCCTCGACAGAGTAGAAACCCCAAATGCAGCCACAGGGACCTGTACCCAAAGACTGAACCTTGTCCCTCCCATTCCTAAAGCCCTCCTGGAGGTCCTCTTTGTCCCCAGGATAAGGGACAAGGTACAAGCTCCTGACATTGGTGGGCTCACATCCCATTTCTCAACTTCCCTCCATCTAGTTCCAGGTCCAGGGCTCGTGGACCTCCCTGAGCTGTTCCTGATACCCCCAGGTCCTGGGCTGGGCTGGGCGTGGGCACAGCTATTCGGACACACTCTTGCTCACAAAGCTTCCCCAAGGCCAGGTGAGAAAGATGTCCCTCATCCCCATGATCCCCAGGTGTCAGTCTACCTGGTTCTGAGCCCCTAGTGCCTTTCATCCAGGAGCCAAGGGACTTGTCCCCTGCCCTAGGGTAACCCTCCTCCCCATGCTCCACACCTCCTCCCACACCCTCAGCCCTTTCTCCTCCCTCTGCCTCCTTCCCTTTCGTCCTTTGGAAGCAGAGGGGCCCAGACTTACAGTCTTGGATATCTAGGCACTCAGCTTCTCTGCTCATCTGTGTAATGAGGGTAATCAGGGAAATTTAAAATGTTTAATGATCCTTAGGGGCTTCCTTGATAACTCAATGGATAAAGAATCCACCTGTAATGCAGGAGACACAGGACACCAGGATTTGATCCCTGGATTGGCAAGATCCTCCAAAGGAGGAAATGGCAACCCATCCCAGCATTCTCGCCTGAAAAATCCCATGGACAGAGGAGCCTGGTGGCTTATGGTCCAAAAGGATCACAAAGAGTCAGACACGACTGAGTGGCTAAGTACAATGACTCTTCAGACAGAGACACAAGTCGATCATCAAGGATGCAGGGAGCAGGAAACTAGGGGCTTAACTTGGGATGAAAATTTTAGCTGGTAAAGTTGCGGGAGGTTCTAAGGGACCACCTGGTATATGTGTGTGGTATGTGTGCTGGGTTTGTGGTGCCTGTGTGTGTGTGAGTGTGTGTGTGAATGTGTGAAATGGCTGTAGAGCAGTCTGTACAGAGTATGTCCATAGTTTAACACCAGGAGAGAGGGCTTTCCAGGTGGCACCAGTGGTAAAGAATCTGCCTGCAATGCAGGAGCCGCAGGAGATGTAGGTCCAATCCCTGGGTCAGGAAGATCCCCTGGAAAAGGGTGTGGCAAACCACTTCAGTATTCTTACCTGGAAAATCCCATGGACAGAGGAGTCCATGGGGTCGCAAAGAGTTGGATAGGACTGAAGTGACTTAGCACAGCAGAGGTATCTGTGTACAGGCTGAACACCAGCATTCCCAGGGGGAGCAGTTTCTACACAGTCTGGTGCCAGCAGGGGAGATGAAGAATCTCACACGCTTCCAGTCACTCTCCCTTCCTTGTGCTCAATCCTGGGCCCTCCTCAAAAATGCTCCCTTCAGCAGAGCTGAACTTGGCATATTTGTGGCCTTCCTGTCATAATAGACATGTTCACTGTGGGAGTAGGTCAGGTACTAGATCCCACATACCCTCTGGGCTCCCTACCTGGGGCCAGGCCAGGGCTGAGCTGAGAAGAGCACATTTCTTCCTTTCATCCACAGCCCCTCCCCTATAAGGTCAGCATCCTTGGGCCCATTCTGCAGATGATGAGATGGAGGCACGGGGAGGCCTGGCATGCATCCTCCAGGGTCCCACAGCCAGTCAGTTGTTCAGCCAGAGTCTGACCCAGGTCTGCTTCTCACTCGCCCAATCCCTATGGGCCCCCGCCTCACTCCCCATCCTGTTCACCCCTATTCCCTTCTCTTTCCCCACCTACCAGAGTCAATCTCCTCTCCTCTGCATGAAAAGCAAGAACTCAATCCTGTCTGAGCAGTTTGAGCAGCCCAAATGTCCCAGAATTACCGATTCCTTCCTCACAACACTGAGCAGCTTGAGGTGGGTCCGTGTCCTGGTATTCAGGTGGAACCCACAGCCCAGGAGGGCTAAGAACCCTGCTCAAAGTCACAGCTGAGGACTTCTACCCCCAGACCCAACAAATTCCCACCCCTGCAGAGGCTTCCAGGAGGGCTAGTAGGCTCAGCAGTCCCCTCAGTACCTACATCTTGGTCCCATCAATACACTGTGTGTACCTGGAATGACAGGAACCCACAGTCTCCCATCCCCCAACCCAGTCCCCTTACTCAGGGTAATGATGCTGAAGACATAATACAGGACCGCAAAGGTCTGCAGTCTGTGCTCCCATGGCAAAAACAAGGACACGAACTCCACCATGCTGGCTCCTCTGCTGGCTCTGGAGGCTTCTCT